ATAGACAATAACACCTCTTGTTATGCCCCAACACCAGGAACAATATAACTGTAGCTTACCATACATTCTCTTTTAGAAATTTTTTTTATAAAGCAACCTATTTGTTCAAAGAATTCATAGTCTATCTATAATGTTATCGTACACACATATCAAGTTATTGTTATTCATTTTTAGTGTAAAATATAACCTGGAAGGAAAAAAATCTATGCTATTATCAAGAACTCACTTAGTAAAAAAAAAAAAAAAAAAAAAGAACTCACTTAGTAAATTTAAACTGTTCAAAAAACTACATAACTTTAAAATATATATATTTCTGGATTTAGTAATCTTATCACCCAAAAGAATCATCTTAATATTGAAATCTGCAACTTAAACTTCTTCCTCCTATTACCAATGAGGAAACCCTCAGATTTTTCAAAGTAAATTAAAATAAAAGAACTAGGGACACCTGGGTGGCTCAGCTGATTGAGTGTCTGACTCTTGGTTTCAGCTCAGGTCATGATCTCAGAGTCATGGGATCGAACCCCGTGTCAGGCTCTGAGCCTAGCCGGGAGTTGACTTGAGATTCTCTCTCTCCCTCTCCCTCTGCCCCCACTCTGCTCTCTCTCCAGAGAGAGTATTTATGTATGCTCAAATACATAAATCTTTAAAAAGAATGTTAAAAATAAAATAACTTTTTAAAATTAGATCCATTGGTTCCTCAATGTCTAGTTTTGTCTAAGCTTTAGAAGATATTTCAGAAATAATTTAGTTGAACCTAAAAATATTCAAAATGACAACACAGCCATCTTAATTATTGGCAAAAGTTCTTAATTAAGCAAACATTTATTGAGTACCTACAATGACACACTTGATCTTAGCCAAAAGGCAGAGAAGTGATCACCTACAATGATACAAAGGGGAATCCAATTCACAGATTCTGGATGCTCCCTACTCCATTATCTGTCAGAATCCTATCTGATTGGGTTTAAATTCCTGCTTCACATATTGTGGGAGATTTCATATGAATAATTTGACCTCTACACTTCCTCATCTGCCAAATGAAAGTAATAATTTACTTCATAAAATTGCTTTGCATGAATTAAATTAGATAATGTATGCAAAAAACACAAGTGTAAATGTGAATTTTAAAATAATAATAATAGTAATGGTTTATAAGACATTATTATTAAACTTTGCATGGTGTTGCTTTCAATAAGTTTCCTTGTTGGGGCGCCTAGGTGGTGCAATCAGTTAAGCATCCGATTCTTGGTTTCAGCTGAGGTTGTGGTGCCTCACATTGGGCTCCGTGCTTGGTGTAGAATCTGCTTCAGATTCTCTCTCCCTCTGCCCCTCCCCACTGTGCCAGCTCTCTCTCTCAAATAAATAAATAAATCTTTAAAGAAGAAGAAGTAGTAATAATAGTAATAGGAGGAGGAGGAGGAGGAGGAGTTGTTGTTTCCCTGTTGACAAAGATTTCCTAAGAGAAGTGACCAGAGCTTGAATTTTGGTCTATCACATTGGGTCACTTGCTGCTCCACAACTGTGAGCTTTAGGAAATTCTTTCTCCTAATATTTTCAGCTACCAAATATTCTTCTGTGCTCCCTAAGATTCAAGTTGCCTCTCATGTAGGAACTGGCAACTTATGTTTGACTGATTGACATAACTCCAATGGGGAGGAATTCTGCCAAAAACAGTAATAAACATATGTGAACAGGTGAACAGAAGATCTAGTGATGAAACCATAGATGTTGGCTCACCTCTCTGTTTCTCTCACCTCTTGTGAACCAGGAAGCATTCAAGTCACATGTTCTCCTCAAGGAGAAATGCCTCATAAACAGGTATTAGAGGAGGAAAGCATTTAACCAAAGACAGGTAGTCTTTACAGAAAAGCAAAATCATGAAACTCTAAGCAGTTTTTTAATCTATGGACAAGATAATTACTGAGACTGAGGTGGCAATCGTTATTCCCATTAAAAAAGTGATAAGCACAAAAATCAACTCAAAATGCTTTAAAGACGTAAAATATAAGACCACAAACTATAAAACACTTAGAAGAAAACATAGGTTCCAACAACTTAAAACATTCTTTTATCATTGGGAAAAAATTCCATTAAGTAAGTATATTTAGAAATTAAAATGATCTTTAATCTAATGATCCTTGTTTTCTGTAACTGGATTTTTAAAAAGATTTTATTTATTCATGAGAAACACAGAGAAAGAGGCAGAGACACAGGCAGAGGGAGAATCAGGCTCCCCATAGGGAGCCCGATGTGGGACTCCATCATCTGGGACTCTGAGATCACACCCTGAGCCGAAGGCAGACGCTCAACCACTGAACCACCCAGGCGTCCCTGTAATTGGATTTTTAAAAAAAAGATTTATTTCTTTTAGAGCAAGAGAGAACATGAGTGGAATGGAGGAGAGGAAGAAGGAGGCTCCCCCCTGAGCAGGGAGTCCAATGCAAGGCTGGATCATTGGACTTCAGGATCATGATGGGGGCTGAAGGCAGATGCCCAACCAACTGAGCCACCCAGGTGCCCCTGTAATTGGATTTTTATACATAGTTTATTTATGGAAGAAAGATATTGACTAAAGCTTATCCTGCTACTCTTTATCATACCTAATACTTGCAGGGAAATTCAAATGTTACAGAAGTATTCGCCAAATAACTGTTAACAGCCTTTTCAGTAGTCAAGTCATTACACAGGAATCCTTTAATCTTCCATTAATTCTCTCAGTTTCCTTTGCTTTTTGGACTTTGACCAAGGAGACACCATTCTGACAGGGGAATTATGACAAATAATGCTGATACTTTGGATGACAGCAGTAACACAGCCTTCTGTTATACTTCTTTTTAATCTTATTAATTTATTCATGAGAGACACAAAGAGAGAGGCAGAGACATAGGCAAAGGGAGAAGCAGGCTCCCTGTGGGCAGCCCAATTTGGGACTTGATCCTGGGATCCTGGGATCCGGGGATCATGCCCTGAGCCAAAGCTAGGTGCTCAACCACTGAGCCACCCAGGTATCCCTCCTTCTATTATTCTTTTCTTTCTCCTTTTCTCATTCTCTTCCTCCTGCTTTAAAAAATTTTTTTTCATATTAATTTTACCCACATTACAAATCATGTAGTTTTTACAATAATCGTGAGGCAGGCAGTACAAGTATTAGTGTCCATATTTTTTAACTGAGAAAACTAAAGCAAGCAAAGAAGTATTGCACAATGAACTAGCCTATAACACAGTTTCTTTGACTGCAAGCACAAAATTTTCTCCAGTTGAGAAGGAAAAGTGGGCATAAATGTAGACAGGAAAACCAAAGATCTTCAGACAGCCTCAGGAGCCACACTGGAGATTCACCAGGCAAAGTGCCACTCTGGGCAGGAGGGAATATTTAGAGATGAAGTCATCTAGTCCATCACAGCCATTTTACTAAAGAGGAAACTTGCTTGCCCTCAGTAGCTAGAAAGTATGAAAAAGTGTTGAGGATTGATAGGCAGGAGACCTGTGTTCTGGCCTCATTCTGCCACTAACCTTAGCACCAACCAACCTGCAAACATTTGACTTGGATGTCCTACATCAATTTCAAAATATGCCCAAAATACTCCTCTCTACAACCCCCCTCCCATCCTGACCCCTGTGGTGAATCATCTCAATAAATGGCCCAGGACAGAACCCTAGCAATCATCCCTCTCTTTCATGTCCCATGTCCTCTCAGTTACCAAATTCTGCTACATATCTTTCAGATCCATCTCCTCCTCCCCATTTCCACTGCCACTCTCTTAGTTGTCCTCACTATGCCTGGCCTGGGTTAGGTTACCACAGCTGTCTGACAGGTTTCCTGGCTCCCACCCTTGCCCTGTTTCAATCCAACTGCCACCTCGCCTGCCACCACAAAGAGTTTTCTAAACCAGAAACTCACTGCTCTAGTTATTATGAATCTCTTTTCCACCAACAATTGGATGAAGCATAAAGTCCCAAGCAAGACGTCCCAATCTGTTCGCGATTTGGCTTCGGCCCTCTACTCTCACTTCATCTTTCACTACTCATAACTTCAGCCCCGCCCCAGTTTTGCAGTTCCTCCAATGTCACCTTTGGCTTTGACACTAATGGCTCACTCTTCCTGGAAGTCTCCCCCTTCCCCTGCCCATTGCCTGGCTAAAATTAACTCAGCCTTCTAGACTCAACTTAGGTTGGAATTTTTCCTGGCACCCCTTTTATATGTTCCTTTGATACTCCCATGGCATCTTGTGCAAACGAAAAAGTCACTATTCACACTGAACTATGTTTGCTCACACATCTGTGTCCCTTGCTAAACTCAGCTGTGGGATGGCAGGGACAGCATCCTATCCAGTGTTTAGATTTAAATATTCATCCAATGAATATCTGAGGATCTACTTTATGCCAGATATAGGTATAAGCAAAGGCACTTCTTACTTTGCTGGGAGTGGGAGGCGATATCACAGAGAAACACATAAGCAAAAGACTATGAGAGTGAAAAGCGCTTTGCAGAGAATTAAAATAAGCCACGTGGTAATGAAAGTGACTGGATGGCTACTTGAGATAGGGTGTATCAGGAAGTGCCCGCTGGGGCAGTGACATTTAAGCTGGCGAGGGAATGCCAAGGAACCGGTATCGAGGGAGAGAAAACCATTGAGGACAAAGGACTACCAGTACAAAAGAAGGAAAGGTGGCCCACGTGGATGTAAAGCGTGGGAAAGTCGAGAACATGGGGTCAAAGAAGACAGGGACCAACTTAGGTAAAGTTTTTAAGCCAGAGTAGAGTTTTGATTTTGTTCTAAGTGTGGCGGGCAGTGACGGACATGATCTGATTGAGCCCGGGTGGCGCAGCGGTTTAGCGGTTTAGCGCCGCTTTGGGCCCGGGGCGTGACCCCGGAGACCCGGGATCGAGTCCCACGTCGGGCTCCCTGCATGGAGCCTGCTTCTCCCTCTGCCTGTGTCTCTGCCTCTCTCTCTTAATAAAAAATCTAAGACCCCTGCCCAGGGTGCAAACAGACCAGTTTGGAGGAGAGAGACTGCGGTGGGCTGGACACGGTGGGCACCGGCGAGTTAAGACTCAGCGCACGTAGGCTTTGGGCCCCGCCCGGGTGGGGACCGGAGCTCCGAGCAGGTGCACGGCGGCTCCCGGGAGGAAGACGGAGCAACTGAAAAAGTTGCTTCGGGCGGGCCCCTGCTCCCTGGACTCCGCGGGCAGTCCGGTGCGGCAGCCGTTGAGAGCCACGCCCCGACGCCGGGCCCCGCAGCGCCCAGAGGCAGCCCGGCTGGCGGCGCGCGCAGCCCCGGCCTCCACGTGCCCCGCGCGGGGGCTTCCGCGTCCTCTGGGCGGAGCCGGAAGAGGAAGTCGGCGCCGCAGCGGCGGCCCCGGCAGGAGCGGCGGCCCCCGCCCACCCCCGCCGTCCGCGCCCGTCCGGCCCGGCCACGGAGGCAGCGCCGCGGCGGGACCGGAGCCCGTGCCCGCCGAGAAGCGCCGCGCCGCCGGGCGCCAGCAGTGCGATGGGGCCGCAGCGGCCGCCGCTCACGGCCGCGACCGCCCTGCTCTGGGGCTTCCTGCTCCCGCTGGTAAGGGGGACGGCCGGGCGCTCGGGCCTCCCCGGGGCGGGGCCGGGGCTCCCTGCCCCTTCTCCTCCCCACCCCCGGGCTCCCGCCCGGCGTCTCCTTCGCCCGCAGCCCAGCGGCCTGCCCCCTTCCCGCTTCTCCGTTTCCTTCCAGCCATCCTCTTCTTCACCCGCTTTCCTCCGGCCTTCCCGCCCCGCCCCCGCCCCCGCCCCCACCCCCACCCCACCCCCACCCCCGCCCCCACCTCCGACGCTCTTGCTACACCGACCTCCGGGTTCCGGGCCTTCTAAGCCTTTTTTACAACATCTTCATCTCTTTCACCCGGAAAAAAGGGGGGGAAAAAAAGCCATACATGTCCCCGGGGTGTTTAGCGGTTCAAAGACGGGGCTTTAGGTTAAATTGCTCAAATACAGATTTTTTTTTTTTTTAGGGCTCATTCAGTTTCATTGTGTGTGTGTCCGTGTAGGGGGCGGTGTGTAATAATGGTCATAATGTAAAATACTTTTTTAAAGGACACATCAAAGTGTAGTATCTTTGTGGTTTTCGATTCTCCGCCTAGTTTAAAGGGGAGGGGAGTCGGTTAAGGAGCCGTATTGTTACTGTTCACTAGTTTGTTTTCATGATTAGGAAAAGTAACGACGTTTTTAAAATTCAACGTCAAGCAACCGGAGCTTCAGTAAATGGCCAGGACGCTGCTGAGTGTTTCGGTTTTTATATTTCTTGGAAATTTTTCACTTAGGGAGTTCCAGGTCGGAAACTTTTGTGAGCTTTATCTACACGGATTTGACGTGCTGGATGCCTCTCTAGTTCTTTCCACTGGAATATGTGATTCCCCTGAAAGAGTATATTTCGCATTCCCTGCTGTTTAAAGGATTGCGTTAGTGGTGTATTTAATAGAAGTGTCTTTAACATTTATTAGGAAACCAAAATCAAAATCTAAAACGGTTAAGTGCCTTTAGTGTACTCCTAAGTTTGCGAGGCAACATCAGGAACACGAATGAGATAATGTAGCTAAAAATTGCTTTTGTGGCGTGGAGGGGGAAGTACAGTATAAAGAACAACAGACTCACAGTGTGAACCTGAATCTTTGAGGTGTAGTTTACCATGTACAATATGCTTAAAGGATGATAATTCAGGTAAGATCTACTGACACAGGAAACTGTAATCTAGATATAAAACTTGTCTGAGTGTTTTTGCACTCTTGCATATTTTCATTTGAATCACTTAAGCTAATTTTAGAGATCTATATGACATTCCCACTTAGCTTTTGCCAGCACAGTAGTTAGTTTAATCATATATCAATTGCTGGTAACTCACACTGAAATTATTATCAAACGCTCTGAACTCTTTTGCTAAAAAATGTGACCAGAATTTTCGTGTGATTTTGAGGGCTTCACAAATCTGAAGGTGGTCCCTGTTCTAAATTGTAGCTAGCCTGTGTAGATTTCATTCTTTTTATATTGTATTTTGTTGTATCACCCTGTACCAACTTAGGAAGATCTCAGGGATGTTGTGGGACTCAGTAACATTTTTTTGACTCTGCAGATATTTAGTGTGCGTCTATTATATGCCAGGCACTATGCCATTGAGTGTGAATAAACTGCCAAGATCTTTTTGAGTTGTAAAGATCTTTTTCAGTGCCAGCCACTATTATTGTTTTTCTGTTGTTGATTTCCCAGTGGGTTTGTTATCTTCTTGACCCTTCTTTTAATCTCCCGAAATGATCTCTCTCCTTTTCCAAGGAACTCAAATCTGGTGTACCTTTCCTCAGCAGAAGTGCTTTCTCCCCTTTCTTAGGAATATCCCTAAGTAGGAGCTTACTTACTGGGTATCTACTTCCTTTCCTCCAATACTTTCTGACATCTTTGGGTTTTTTTGTTTGTTTGTTTTTCTTTTTACCATTTTCTCCCTGAAGCCCTTGCTTATCCCTTTTCCTTAATCTTACAGCTCTAGGTGGCCTGCGTTTATTTCAATGATTGAGGCCAGTTTAATTAGTTCACCTTTTCTGGGCTCTTGTAGCTGGCACTGCTCTCAGCTTTCCCTTTAGTTATGTAAGAACAAGGCCAGTATCCTCATCTAGAAGCAGCACGTAGTCTCTAGAAACCACTATTACATCCTTGTAGAAAATGCAGAGGATGAAGTATTAGAAAGGCCCTTCAACGTCATGTAGCTACCCTCCACATCTTGTCCTCACATCAGTGTGACCTCCTATTAAACTCAAGCCACGGTACATCTGACTGTTGAGATGATTGCTAAGCCCATTAAACATTTAAGTCTAGAAATAGAGTATATAGGAGATGGTTGGTTCTCTCTTGGCCTTGTCATGATTCCATTTCATAGTCTCTAGTCCAACCCCCATCCCTAGCCGTCACTGTTAGGCCTTTATTTCACAGTGGTATTTCAACCCAGTCACAGAGTTAGGTTTCAAAGAAAATGAGTCAAGTTTAGCCTGGATCTGTTTTCTAAAATTGCTTCAAAGTTCTCTGAAGAATCCTGAATCTTTCCCATAATGTTTTTACAAAAGTTCTGTTCATTTTTTTTCATTACTTCAAAGAATTTGAAGTGTTACAAAGCCACATCTTGAACTTATTACAGTGAAGTGATAATCAGGATCCCCAGCAGAGAAATCTCTTGCTGAAATCTGCATTCCTTTGGTATACTACACCAACTCAAAGAATCTTCTTTAATTCCTTCTCTTCTGTGCTTCTTTCATCATCCTGGGAAAAGAAGGTATGTTCTGCTACCCAAGCTATCAGAAACATGCTGAGCTGTTGTGTTGTAGACTGAACTGTGTCTCCCCCCACCCCCTCAAATTCATATGTTGAAGCTCTGACCCCTAGTGTGATGGTGTTTGGAAATGGGGCCTCTGGGAGATAAGTAGGTTTAGAGAGGTCAGATGATAGATCCCTTGTGATCAGTTGGTACCTTGTAAGAAAAGACACCAAAGAGTTTGTTCTCTGTCCCCTAAAACCCAGCCCCCAAACACACACACACCATGTGATGACACAGAAAAATGTCTGTCTACATGCCAAAAAGAAAACTTACCAGAAACCAGCCGTGCTGGCACCTTTATCTTGGACTTCCAGTCTCTAGAACTGTGAGAATAAATTTCTGTTTAAACTACCCACTCTTTGGTATTTTGTTGTGGCAGTCCAAGCTAAGACCGCTTTTGGTACCAGAAATGCAGTGCTCAGTAGCTAATACCTAACCATGTGGTAGCAGCTTTGTAACTGGGAAGAGGTTTGAGGTGCATGCCAGAAATACAGACATTAAGGACAATTCTGGTGAAGTCTCAGAAATGGAACGTATTATTATTAGAAACTGAAGGAAAGGTAATTCTTATAAAATGGCAAGGAACTTGGCTGAACTGTGATGTAATGTTTTGTAGAAGGAAGAATTGTGAGCAATGCAATTAGATATTGAGCTGAGGAGTTATTATTATTATTATTATTATTATTATTATTATTTTAAGATTTATTCATTAGAGGGGCGCCTGGGTGGCTCGGTTGTTGAGCATCTGCCTTTGGCTCAGGTTGTGATCCCAGGGTCCTGGGATTGAGTCCTGCATCGGGCTCCCCGCAGGGAGCCTGCTTCTCCCTCTGCTTGTGTCTCTGCCTCTGTGTCTTTCATGAATAAGTAAATAAAATATTAAAAAAAAAAAAGATTTGGGATGCCTGGGTGGCTCAGCGGTTGAGCGTCTCCCTTCGGCCCAGGGCGTGATCCTGGAGTCCTGGGATAGAGTCCCACATCGGGCTTCCTGCATCTCCCTCTTCCTGCGTCTCTGCCTCTTTCTCTGTCTCTTATGAATAAATAAATAAAATCTTAAAAAAAAAAGATTTATTCATTAGAGAGAGAGAACAAGAGCCAGAGGGAGGGGGAGAGGGAGAAGCAGACACCCTGATGAGCAGGGAGCCTGATGTGGGCCCCATCCCAGGACCCTGGGATCATGAGCTGAACCGAAGGCAGACACTTAACCGCCTGAGCCACCTGGGTACTCCTTAGCTGAGATTTTTAAGCAAAGTATTGATGGAACAGTGTGATTCCTCCTGACTGCTTATAGTAAAATGTAAGTGGAGAGAGAAGAATTAAAGATGGAATTGTTAAGGTAAAAAAGGACTCGAATTTGATGATTTGGAAAATTCTCAGCCTATCCATATTGTATAAAGGGAGGAAGCTTGTTCTGAAAAAACACTAAGCGTGTGGCAGGAAAACCATCTGATAAAGAACTTGTAGGATTTTTGAGCAGAAATACTACTAGTTTGAACTAAAGGGGACAGAGATGGGGCAAAATGAAGGAAGGCTGTTGACTTCTTGGATTTGACAGGTGGGATGATGGAGTGATGTGGCTATGAATATGAATTATTCAAGGAGGAGGAGAAATTATCCCAAAGGCAATTCAGAGATCATTATAGGCCACTGCCTCAGTTCCAGCAGGCCTTATGGCCTCTGCTGGGAGACTTGGGGGCAGGATCCCACAGAGCCATGGAATGGGAGTGGTACTGGTACTGCAATGGGCCTGTAAGGTGGGACTTTGAACTGAAAAGGATTATTCTTGATCCTTAAGACCTAATTGAATTTTTTTTTTTGGCCAGGTTTTGGACTTTGGTCATATTACCACTTTTTTCTTACTGTTCTCACACACCCCTCCACCCCTGCCTGTTTTTTAAGAGAAAATGAGCATGGGGGGCTAGGGACAGAAGAGGGAGAGAGAGATACTTAAGCAGGCTCCACACTCAGTACGGAACCCAATTTGGGGCTTAATCTTCGGTCTCTGGACCCTAAGATCATGACCCAGAGGGAAATCAGGAGTCTGATGCTTAACCAGCTGAGCCACCTGGGCGCCTCTCCCTTTTGGAATGCTAATGTTTACCCTGCGCCTGTCCTAACATTCTATTTTTGGAAACATATAACTTGTCTGGATCCACAGACTCACAGCTGGAGAGGAATTTTGCCCACAGAATGAACTGTATTGTCAGCTTCACCCATATTTGACTTTGATGGTA